TGTATGGAAGGGCAGCAATATATATATATATATATATATATATATATGTACACACTATGTGGCCCAGATGTCCAGTTTACTGGTTGAAACTGGTCCAGATTACATAATTTAACCTTCTTTGCTGTTATTTACCTGGATGATTGAGTTTCCAACCCTTTATTTGCTGAATGATTTCTAAGAAACATACAGATATAAAGATAAAATGGGGAATGGGTAATTTAATCCTTCCATCCATCCATTATCTTCTGAAGTTGGGTCGCAGGGGCAGCAGCTTGAGCAAGAAGACCCAGACTCTTTCCTCGGCCACCTCTTCTTGCTCTTCTGAAGGGACCCCAAGGTGTTCCCAGGCCAACTGAGAGACAAAGCGTGTCCTGGGTCTTCCCCGGGGTCTTCTCCCAGCTGGACATGTCCAAAGCACCTCCCTAGGAAGGCATCCAGGGGGTATCCTTACCAGATGCCCGAACCACCTCAACTGGCTCCTCTCGATGTGGAGGAGAGGGTAATTTGTTATCTGATGACTTTTTAAAAATTTATGAATTTTAAGAAAGCTATATTTTTGATTTTATTTTATTTTATTTTTGGCAAAGCAAAAAGACCATGAAAATCTAGAATATTTGTTGCGTTTTGTTCAGTTTGATGTTCTGCAGTTGGGTACAAGAAAAGTTTTATTGTCAGGCAAATGTCCATGTATCTAGGTATACATAAAAAAATTAAAAAAAATTAAAAAAACACATCACAATCTGAGCACAGCAAACACACTAAATCATTTAAAAAGTATTGTACTAAAACAACACATTTTGAACCAACAGTAAAACAATGGTAGCAAGTCTGTTCCTCGTTACAAACTTTTTCATTCAACCTTTATTTAGATAGGTTAATCCCACTGAGCCTCGACTTAGTTGAGTTTTTAACTCTTTGTTCACATATAAATATTTTGTCTTCAACACATGAGGTACTAACATTCTCACCACAGTGGAATTCCAGTTTCATATCACCGTTGTGACTCTATATGTTGCCAGTGTCACCAATGGACCATAGTATGAGAAAAACAAGAGAGAGAAATGCAGTACCCAGAAAGTCTCCCAGAGCTGTCAGGTATGGTATTGAGTAACTGTCAGGGTCCTTGCCCCTCCGCCACAGACAGTGGGCCATACAGTCAGCTACAGAGAGTAATAAGAAGACCTGATGGATAGAGACAAGTAAAGTTACTGCTGATATGAGCACTGCTGAAATCTGCAGAGGTAAAAGGAACAACACAACTGACTCACCTGAACAAGAGAAGCTGACAAAAACAAGACTGTGAAGAGAGGACTGGGCAATGTGAGCCCTCCTTTCATCAGATGGATAACATGTATGAAGATCAGTTGACCAGGGATAACCAACAAGAGCAGAACTTGAGCAGATCGGTGGTTTGCTCCTGCCAAAGCAAAAGTGTGTGTTAACTTGAGACCCTGTTTACACGTGAATGATCTCCTTGAAACAGTAAAGATTTTCAAACATGGATTATTTTTCTTTACAAGTGTTCAGTGCCGTGATCACAATAACCGTGTAGATAAGACCACAAAAAACTTTGAATCTGCTATAATTTCAATGCCAATTAACAAGCTGGCGATGTGATTTTTGCATTTTAATGGCACACCCATGTTGTGAGCCACTTAAGTACTCATACTCATTCAGTGTTTATAGAATATGAGAAATTTGTCTCCACTGTGTGACATGCACATATAAAGTATGTTTAGAAGCTCTGATTGAAAAAAGTGAGCAGTGCAAACAGCAATCCATCATTGTTACTGTTGTTCATCTACTGGTACTTGTGCATGAGCAGACAAACTGTTGACTGTAGCAGTCTGTAGTGGCCATGCGTGGTTTCACACAGATGTACACTGAATTTAAAAGGCTTCAGTGTCGGACAAAATGATCACTGTTGCCACATACACAAATGGCAAAAATGAAACAAAAATGTTATGGTTTCACTTAAAATGGCCTCTTGACCTGAGCAGTGCCACAGACTGATCGACTCCATGCCACGCCACATTGCTGCAGTAATCCAGGCAAAAGGAGCCCCAACTAAGTACTGAATGCAGTACATGCTCATACTTTTCATATTCATGCTTTTCAGTAGGCCAACATTTCTAAAAAAAATTTTTTTATTGGTCTTAAGTAATATTTTAATTTTCTGAGATGCTGAATTTGGGGGTTTCATTAGTTATCAGTTATAATTATCAACAATAAAAAAAATAAACATTTGAAATATATCAGTCTGTGTGTAATGAATGAATATAATATCCAACTTTCACTTTTTGAATGGAATTACTGAAATAAATCAACTTTTTCATGATATTCCATTTTTATGACCAGCACCTGTATGTTCTTAAGTTTAGTATCAGTCTCTCTTCTGCTACTCAGATTCTCTGGTATGTACAGAACACACTTCTTATAGAGAATTAGGGCTCCCTTGTAAAACATATGTGATCTCAATAAGACTAATTTGGCTAAACAAAACTGTTTGTTCTAAACAAAACATGGTTATGGCTAAAATATGATCAATTCACAATTATTTCTTACCACCAGTATTTAATCAATTGAGAAAGATGATTTGTCAATAAATAAACCTACCTTTATTAGAAAAGGACATACAAGAATAAAGGCAAACTGTTATAAAACAATAGATTCTGATAATCTCTTTCATTCTTTTTAAGATGAGCCAGAGCTGATGGAGATGTTGCAGTGGCCTTTATCATGACCAGTGACCATGACACAAATCCAGTTCACTACCAGCCTGTAAAAGTCAACGTGGTCATAGAAAGTGACATCATTGTCAGCTGTCCCAGATTTGCAGATGCCTTCCTGCTGTTTGGGTTTCCTCAGGTATCCCAAAGCACTTACCAACACTTTTGAATGTGTTCAGAAGATTTCACTGGTCTAGAAGATGTTAAACTGTCGCCCAGGTTACAAACTCTCAAGAATGACCTGATGATACATTTATAAAAACTCATAGATTAAGGGTTTTATTGAACACATTTCTTTTGAGTTCAAAGCTTTTTTGGTTTCTAAATGATTCCTTAAAAGCTGCTCTGCAGGTGTTCAGCCCGTACGACCAAATACACAAATGGGCCAGGGTTCTTGTTTAACTGTTTGTAAGTTGTGCCCATTTAGAACTGGTTTTATAGTTAACGTAACATTCACATTTTAGTTTTCAATGTCAAATGTTGTTAAACAGTTAAAACATTGTAATTTGATTCAAGTTGTTGATCTCTCAGCCTACTCTGGTATTAGTCAAAATGCAGAAAGTACTCATTGTTTTGGTATTTGATTAGTGCAGCAACTATTTTTAATTTGATTTTATTATTTAATATCATTATTTATCAGTTTATTTTCTGCATTAATTGATTAGTTGCTTAGTATTTACTTTTTCACAAATAAAACCAGAAACTGTTCACATTTGAGACACTAGAATCTGAACATATGATGCTTTCATCTGAAATAATGTCTCAAAACAATTAAAATAGGTGCTTAACAATTGACAACTAATCAGTTACTAAATTGTTGCAGCTGTACATTTTATGTAAATGTAGTTATTTTTTTATACTGTTCTCTTTAAATGTTTTAGCATGTTTTTTTCTCTTTTCCAATATTTATTTTTGCAGGTGTTTTTATTTTAAATAAGCCAAGAAAAACCTCTAGAACATGTCCGTAACTTGGTCATTTCAAGTTTATTCTACTCAATGTATTTAAGGCAAATCAACTGCCTCAATTTTTTAAAGTTTTGCTTCATGTGCTTTGATTAATACAAAGTCAACATTTCTGAGTATTCTGTACTTAAAACAATGGCAAACTAATAAAAATTGAGTTTTATTAACTTAAAAATGTCTCGTCTTGTACTTAAATTTTTGAGTTCTGTTACCTTTTTCTGGGTTAAAAAAGTGTAAAGTCTTGATAAATGAAAAATTTTTTAGTTTATATAACTAAAATTTTTAAATGGTGATTAGTAAAAAGATATTGAGTTGACTTGATGAACAATTTTAATTAAACTGGAATCAAAATGTAGAAGTAGCACTTGACAAAATTTAAGTTTTGGAAAAAACATGTGATTTTAAGTTTTTCAACTCAAAAAAATTGTGGCATTTGATTGCCTCAATATTTTTGGGTTCTGGAAACTTGTTTGGATTTACAGTGTACAGGGAGAGCATGCAAACCACATGCAGAAAGACCCCTGGCTGGGATTCTAACACCTGCAACAGTGCTACCACCTGCACCACTTTGCAGCCTCAAAACTGTACATTTACTCAGAAAACCCCAATTTTAGGTCTTTTGTGTCACGGTCAGCGGCCCCCGCTGCCCCCCCC